TGATCACACACTAGCATTACTTTGCAAAAACCATTGTTTTTCATTAGGTTCGATGTTGCACAAACAGAGACATGATTGATCCCACAGCAGCACTTTCTTGCAAAACAACTATTGTTTTAAATTGGGGTTCATGTTGCAAAATCAACAAGGTGATTGATCCCGTAGCCAAACCATGGTTTTTCATTAGGCTCGATGTTGCACAAACAAAAACTGGCTGTTGCATGTTCTGAGTTACTTGTTTGGTTCCCTCTGCGCTAGTATATTGACTGCATTGGTCAGAGAAACATAGGCTTGATGTCGCACACAACAGCATTACCTTTCAAAAACCCTGGTTTTTTCATTAGGGTCGACGGTCGATGTTGCACAAAAAAGACTGGCTGTTGTATGTTATGAGTTACTTGTTTGGTTAATCAATCTGTGCAGTGGTATTTCAGTCGTATATTGATTTCATGTGTTAGAATGAATCATAGGTATATTCTAAGTGCATTCCATCCCAGAGACTTCAATGAATTTGATTATGAGTCAACTTTTTCATGTCCAAGTTTTTTTGCTTTCACATCAGCATTACCTTTCAAAAACTGGTGTTTTTCATGAAGCTTGATGTTGCAAGAACAAAGAGGTGATTGATCACACATTAGCATTACTTTGCAAAAACCATTGTTTTTCATCAGATTCGGTGTTGCACAAACAAAGACACGATTGATCCCACAGCAGCGCTTCCTTGCAAAAAACTATTGTTTTAAACTGGGTTTGATGTTGCAAAAACAACGAGGTGATTGATCCCGTAGCAAAACCATGGTTTTTCATTAGGTTCGATGTTGCGAAAACAAAAACTGGCTGTTGTATGTTATGAGTTACTTGTTTGGTTAATCTGTGCAGTGGTATTTCAGTAGTATATTGATTCCATGTGTCATAATGAATCATAGGTATATTCTAAGTGCATTCCATCCAAGAGACTTCAATTCTTTTGATTATGGGTCAATTTTTTTCATATCCAAGTTTTTTTTCACAGCAGCATTACCTTTCAAAAACTGTTGTTTTTCATGAAGTTTGATGTTGCAAAAACAAAGAGTTGATTGATCACACATTAGCATTACTTTGCCAAAAACGTTTTTCTTTACTAGGTTCGATGTCGCACAAACAAAGGCGTGATTGATCCCACAACAGGATTAATTTGCAAAACACATGATTTTTTATTTGGTTGTTTCTTGCAGAAAAAAATGTAATTGATCCCACAGCAGCATTGCCTTGCAAAAACATTGTTTTTCATTAGGTTTGATGCTGCATAAACAAAGAGTTGATTGATCCCACACCAGCATTACTATGCAACAACCATGCTTTTTCATTAGGTTTGATGTTGCGAAAACCAAAATGTCATTGATTTTTCTGATGGTTTCATATTCTGAGTGCTGTTTCATACTCTAAGTGCTAAATTTCCATTGATTGAAATGAATGCGGAGCTACCATTTTTTCCATTCGTCCAGTCGATAAATTTTTTATTTCAATTTTCTAGTGTTGGTCCGCTATTGTACTGTAGTCGTTTGGGACACAACTGTTGAATTTACTATTGAATTTGTGACAAAAGCCCTCATTTGGCTTACCGTACTGTAGGATAACACCGGTTTCTAGCTGGAAAAACGAGTATAAAGATCGAGATAGGAGGCTTGGAACCATGGTATTTACCGGGATTATATGGTCGGATGTAGCTATTTATCACTACACTTGGCTTACTGTATTGGTTCTAGCTCCAAACACGGGTTTAAAGATAGGGATATGAGGCTTGGAACCATGGTATTTGCTGGGATTTTATGGCCGGATGTAGCTATTTTATCACTTGACAACATATTTAAAACATATTCTATGTGCAATTTTTTTTAATATTCTATGTGCTTACACACCCTGCTATTTTTCTATATAAATATCATAAATTTATATTCTAAAACTTTAATCTTTTCCCCATATTCTAAGTGCTCGTCCTCTATTGTATTATTATTATTGATGATAATAGTAATTATGATATATAGTAATTAGTAAAAATAACAATGATAACAATGATAATGATAATAACAACAATGATAATGATAATGATAATAATAACGATAGCGACAACGATAATGATAATGATAATGCGAATGATAACAGTAATAATCATAATAGTATAATGATAATAATAAACTCAAACCATCTTGGACTATTGCCCGTTATTGCCCGTTTTCCCTGCCGCTGTGTTCCGGTCGTGTTCCAATGTCCCAGGCCTGGTTGTGTTGAACCTGTCGACGCAGAGAACGTTGCAGCATTGGTACGCGAGCTTCACATGCCACGGCTTACCTGGGCGGAGGCAAGGGATGCGTTGGGAAGACTTGCAACCGGCGTCTGCTAGGCTACTTTTCTGCTCCTACTCTAGTATCCATTTATCTCTGGAGTCTCTTGTTGAGGTCCTTCTGGGGCACGTTTTCCCTTGGGCCTGGCACTCAAGCTTGTCAGTTTTTGAGATGCTGCTGCCAATATGGTGTCGACCAAGGCATCCAAGCCTGAAGTAGAGCCGACTGCACGGCAGGGGTTGATGCTGGCCATCGCTCGAATCTGAGAAACTCCAGTCCTCAGACAGACTTCACAGTCACAGACTCCATAGACTCCTTACATACATTCATATGTTCTTATAGATCTTTATGTATTCTCTTATTGACTTCTGGTTGTTTTCTGATCCTTTTGGCAAGAGTAAGCAGAGGTGCAGCGATGGAGGCAGATGGAGCTGGCTGGAAACGAACAATGCGTTGAGGCACGAGCGCACGTCCAACAGAAGCACGGACTGTTCCATACTTTTATCGCGGCTGAATACTAAATCTGTCAACGGAATTATGTGAATAGGCATCCTAGGCTTGATTACCTTCAGTCATCTTCAGCCGTAATCAGATGGAAGTGACAGAAGTCAGTCTTCTCTCAAACTTTGCAATGTGAACTTTTGGACTCAAAGGACAGGGGAAGGCCAGGCAGCAGAAGAATGAACGCATGTTGTTTTCCTATGCTTTCCTGCTGTAGGCATTGCAGCTAGTGTCCTTCATTCCAACAGCTTGGCTCTCAGCCGAAGGCTGCACGGATCAGACCCACCCTGTCATATCAGTTCATATCAGTTCATGGCTGTCATGGCTGTCATGGCACCTCAGGTAGATGGACAGATGCGAAGTCCAGCCACTCTTTTAGATCCGCGAAAGGAGGACAGAAGGGCTGCCGACCTTGTGCTGCCTCCGCTGTGTCCCAAACATGCAAGTCTCGACTGTTGATTTAGCTCTCTGCAGGACTTGAAGCTCCTGTACATGGGAGATGGGACTTCAACCCAGTTGAATTATGCTGTCATAGAATGTCATAAAAAGCAAAATCAGAGTGTTTCTTCAGCCCAGAATCTGCTGATGCAGTCAGCCATTCCCAAGTGGTGTTTGTACTGCTAGATCGGTCATCTCTTAGGCCTTTCCCTGCAGCAGAAGTGAATGCAGTGTTGACCTCAGCTGAAGATTTGTGTTGTTGAACCTGTCAAACTTGACTTGCCACAACCGAAGTCCAAAAGCACGTGCTGGGGCAGGTGCTTCTTCCCTTGATGCAGAGAGGCCTTTTGAGGTGCAGACAGGAACTATCTTTAAAGGAGCCACCAACAACAGAGACAGCCTCTTGTAACTCACACCTCAGAGCCAGTTTCTTGACAGGTAATGCATGCAAATAGTCTCCCCTAGCCGTAGCCTAATTCTTCTGCTGTACCACCTGATAGCTACTGAGGGAGGAAAGGAGTCCCTCCTTCCATCTCCCAAAAAACGGCATACTGCAAAAGTGGCAGATAGAGACATTGCAAATCGCACTCTTCCTGGGGTTCATACATCTATACCCGAATCGCATGGCCATTTCAAGTACTAGAACCTTTCATAGCCTCAACATGCCTCAACTAGTTGAGATATGTGTCGCCCCTGGTCCACCCCTCGGGTCCCCTGGCCTGGCCTGGAGTGATGTTTATTGAGACATACATAACATTACATGACCATAATGCATCATCTTCCTGCTCTTCTCCCTCCTCTTCCTCTGCATCGGTAGTAGTATTGATTTCACTTTGACTCAGCATCTTCGTGAGCACCGACAGTTCTTTCAACAAGAGATGCAGCGGTTGTGTTTCAAACCTCCACCTGCGCTGAGTGGAGCTTTGACGCCTTGTGATTACTCCAGAGGTGAACAGGTGAGGATGGTGAGATTTTGTTTCATTTGGTTTCTGTTTTTTCTTGGTGGTATGCACCTTGCTAGCTCTTGTTCCTTACACCTTGGCCTCAAATTGGCAGTTGACAGTACAGTTCTGACATGTGGTTTGATTTTCAACCAGCCCCCCGGTTGGAGGAAGCATCCAAAGTCATGCATGATTGTATTTTCGCAGAATGAGTGATGGTGACTGGTTTCTTTCAGGGTAGTTTCCTCCTTCCAGTCAGTACTGGAGCTCTTGTTATATGAGAATCAGTGAAATCTTTCAATAGTCATAAAATAGCTATACAGTGCAATAAGATGTAATAAATAAAATTGAGAGGTTTCTGCCTCTAATTTCGGTTCCCCTGTTGACCCTTCCAGACTTTCTGGACAAGGAGCTCCACGAACGACTTGTCTTCCTTGACAGTCTGAGCCTTAACATCTTTATTTTCCCTGAGCTTCTGTTTTTTTTCTCCTCATTCTTCACATCTTCAGCTAAGCCAGCGCCTTTGGGGGTTCGAGGCAAACACCAACTTGCGGCAAATAGCCCTGAAGAGGGAGAATGGGACAAGGAGCGCCTGCCCGATCTGCTGTGAATGTTTGAAGTTCTTTGTGTTGCTTTGCTGCTTGAATTTTTGTAATCTATTGTCTATTGTGTGCAAATCTGCAGCAATTGCGCACTTCTTGGCTGATTTTGACCATGGGAAGGTGAAGAGCTGTGCTGAAAACTTTCTGCAGTACGCGGCCACGACGGTTAGCATGAAATGCCAAGAGGCCTGAGTTGCATACCAGCAGACATTCTCCATGGACATTGTGCCTGGGTTCGTGTTGCGTGAACCCTTTCCAGGTACGCACGGCAGCAGCTGCAGCTGCAGTCCCAGAAGCACCAAGCACCTCACCATCAGCTTCTGCAGCCAAGAAAGAGAAAGCACACAGTTTCTTTTCATGGTCATCTATCATGCCATTGGGCGACTTCTTGACGGCTGCGACGGCGAGCAGTCTGCCTGAGAAGGTTGAATCATTGGAAAAGAGAGAGGAATGGGCAGAAGATGATGTTGAGACCCTCAAATGCAAGTTTCGTTCCTGCCGGTGGATTCCTGCAGCAAAAGCGCCGCGAGAATGGCTTGCTGCCATTCCTTGGGCTGGCAGTGCTCACAAACTCTGGCGGCCATCAGAGCTCGTCCTGATGTCTGATTTCTGGACTTGTGGTGCTGCTAGTCCAGTCCTTGACCTTGAAACACAGGTGGTTCTCTCGGGTGAGCGGAAGCCGAACTTACACAGTGACTTTCTGGAATTGCTCGGTATTTCCTCCCTGCCAGAAATTCAAAGGATTCACTGTGCCTGGGCGCAGTTGGAAACCATTCGTTCATGGTCGCAAAAGCATCCAGACGGCAAAGCCAACGAGAGCGAATCAGCTTGGATCTCCAAGTGTCTCTATCACTATGTGTATCCATTGATAACAGGTGAAGCCAGAGCAAATGAGATGGAGGGAAAGTCCAATGGATGCCAGTTGGATGAGATTTTTGTAGCTGGAACGTTTGTGCCAATAGAAGATCTATCTCTGTCGCAAGATTTTGGCATTGCAGGTTTGCATCAGATCCCCAAAGAACTGCAAACAACAGCTCGAAAGCTTTGCAGCCAAATTCGGCCAAAATTTCAGGCCAATGATTTGGCGAGAGCTTTGTACCGACTTTCACAGAAGAATGCCGGCCCGGTCCCAAACGGCAACTCAAACGGCAACCAGTTGTCTCCCGGTGAAACTGAGTCAGCAGTGCATCTCGCCATGGCTCTTTCTGAGCGAATCAGATCACAAGGAGAAGATCTCCCGGAGCATGTCATGGTACCAACAACTCAGGGAAAACTTCGCCCGGCTGAAGAGTGTGTTTTCAACAACATGAGATGGCTCTCAGAGGAGGAGCAACACAAAAGAAATCGAGCCGTCACCAGTAGTGGCCTTCATTGGGTTCACCAGAGCATTTCGAACGATGTCGCGGTTTCATTGAACGTACAAGCCTTGAGTACTCAAGTTGCAGCAGAAGCTTTAGCTGCTGCAGATGACGGGGAGAAAGATCCGGAGTGGTTTGAGGCTGCTGGACAGACTGAACCCCTCACCACTCGGTTGCGTTCTTTATTGCGGGACATTTCTGAATCTGAGGACTTAGGTCTCTTCAAATCTTTGCTGCAAAACGCGGACGATGCAAAAGCTTCCGAAGTGCACTTTGTGTGGGACTGGCGCAGCTTTGGACGGCAATCTCTCATGTCGCCAGAGATGGGGCGATGGCAGGGACCCTGCCTTTGGGCGCACAACAACGCTTCATTCTCTCCACAAGACTTTGAAAATATCACGCAACTGGGTGCAGTGAAGAGCACAAGCCGCAAAGCACAGATCGGGCGTTTTGGACTGGGCTTCAACTCTGTCTACAGCTTGACCGATTTGCCAAGCATCTTAAGTGACGATGTGGTGCTCTTCCTAGACCCTCATGTGCACCACTTGAAGGCAATGGGTGCATCACCAGCAAAGCCAGGAATCAAGCTGAGATTTCTCAAGATTGATGTCCTTGACAAGTTTCGAGATCAATTTGAGCCCTACCATGGCATGTTTGGGTGCGATCTGAAATCCTCTACACGTTATCAAGGCACATTGATTCGAATGCCATTCAGAACACCGGAAGCAGCCAAGGCAAGTGAAATCAGCAAAACTCTGGTATCGCAGGAGTCAGCCATGGCATTTCTTCGTGCCTTCAGAGATGCTGCTGCTGAATGCCTGGTGTTTTTGCAGCATGTTCAACGGATTGTTTTTAGCTGGATTCCTTCAGATGCTGGTGCAAATGGGACACCTCAAACCTTTATGGAAATCAAGATCACACCACCTGGAATCCCACTGTCTCTCGACGCTCCTAAGTGCAGCAATTCCAGCAGTTCCAGCAAACAGGCAGGAGAATCAGTTGCTCTGTCTGTTGAAATTTCCACCGATGAGCAGGCACTAGAGTACCGTCGTTTGTTTTCTTCCAGAACAGTTGCACAGAGCAAAGAAAAGCAGTCTTTCATTTCCGACATGTTGAATCGCTTGGGAATGTCCAAGTCACATCCAGATGTGCGCCCGTACATTTCGTTCAATTTAGTTGTTTCGATCTCTTGGTCACCTCCGATGGAATTGCAGAAAGAGTTCGACAGTGAACCTTACAATCGAAAGGAGGCATGGCGCTTGATACTTCAGCACGACAATCCGGAAGATGAACGATGGGCAGGAAGTCGAAATGAACCTGAAACTTCAGAGGCAGCAGAAGCGAGCTTTGCTTATGTGCCATTCGGAGGTCTGGCGCTTTGCCTTTCGCGGCTTCTTCGCACTGAAGAACCACGGATTTGTTGTTTCATGCCTTTGCCGATCACGAGCTCTTTGCCTTTTTTGATCAATGCGAACTTCTGCCTGAGCGATCCGACTGCTCCGGGTCGTTTGGATTTGGTCAGACCAGGAAGCACTTCAAATTCGAAGTCTGATTGGAACGGACTCATTTTGCGCAACATCATAGAACCTTTGATTTGTACTTTGATTCATGAGCAATCTGCAGCACTTCAGGCCTTTCGCTGCCAAAAATCAGCAAATGTAGCTGTTTGGGCTGACCGGGAAGGGGTGTGTTCTTTGATGCCACGGAAATCTCAGCTGCCCTTGAGTTTGCAACAGCTGTTGAACCTTCCAACCATTTACGCTTCCCTCAGCCACAGTGCACTTTTCCCGGTACTTTCCTTTGAGACAGGCAGTGCAGGACAGACTGAGTTCGGGAAGTATACAGGACACACTCAGTTTGCGGAGTTTTTGGACGCAAGTGGCTTGCGAACAGCTGCGCCCCTGGTATCTTATGTGGATTCTGTGCAGCCGCTGCCTGATGACATTGGAACAGTGGACCAGAGACAAGCCGTGCATGAATACTTGTGCCACTTTTGCCAGCCAAAGGAAGGCAAGTATCGCTTTTGCGACGTGGTTCCTGAAGTACAGCAGGAATTCTCGTCTGCAGGTCTCAAGCGCAAGGCGTACGTCGACCGCTCTTTGGTATTGTCATGTTTGCGCCAGGACTCACATCACAAATACAGTTGTGCTACGGCTTCCAAACTCGTAGGCTTCATTCTGAGTGGAGAGCAGGATGACTCGGCTTCAAAGCTGCAAGGGTTGAAGCTGGCTCCGCTCTGTGACAACAAGGTGGCCTGTTTCGGTGATGGATCAGATCAACTGCTTTTCTGTGCCTTTGTCTCAGACAACTCCCGAAGCTCGTTTGCCCAGCGAGTTTTGCAACAACTTGCTTCCAAAGCAACCTTAGATTTGTCTGGCCTAGATGCAAGAAGCCACGAGAGGCTACGCAGACAAGCCGACAAACTTGGAATTCGACATGTTGAAAAGTGTGAACAGCTTTCGGAAGCTTTGCTTCTGGCACTTCCAAGCATTCGTGCTTCCGCTCCCTCCTCATCCGTTCTGGCGTCATTGGACGAAACCTTCGCAGGCAGTTCCCCTCTTGACAGCCATGCCAATACTATACAGCCCATTCGAGAAACCCATGCCAATCCATGCCAATGCCAAGAATGAATCTCATTGTTTTGTACCTAGTTCTGATCGTTTTAGAGCCAGTTGCTCGTCTGTCAATGTTTCAAAGATCAAAGAGAACAACCGATTTGGCAGGACGCATTCTTGGAAGCACTCGTCAAGCCGCTGCTGGGTCTTTGCCTTACGGCCTGCCGAGTACAGATTGGTTCCAAACAGTGGATCCCAGTACCAGATATCCGTGTCTACAATAATGAGCTATAATTAATTACTTCACATGTTCTATGATGTCATGTTCCCTATAGTTGCCAAACTGTCCAAGCTCCTAAAATCCTGGAAGGTCGCTCGGCTTCGGAAGTGATGAACATGCCAGTTCCACACTTTGCGCACTTTGGTCATTTGTCCAGTTGGTCCGAGCCACAGGTCAAACAACGGGGGTAGGGAAGGAGTGAAACAAATGGCAACAACGTGCAACTGCGATCTTGTGCCAGAGACAACCATGAAACATTGATGAAACATTACTGGAGTATGCTGGCCCAAGGCAGAAGATGGCTTGTCTGATGAATTTCTGTCCGCCTTTGACGGTTTCTATGTGGTGCCTGCATGGAATGCAGCAAGATCTGGGACGCAGAAGTTCTGGCCTCAGACTCGAAGACGCACGGACGGATTGACGCACCCAGTCACACCCGCTCAACCTATCCTCAAGTGTTCCATGCCGATGTCCTGTAGGACTTGGTTTGTGTTGAAATCGCATATTTCGAAGTGAGGGGACTGGACGGGTATAGACTTGAATGATCTTGAATGGACAAACCGTTGACAAACCTCTCTCCCTGTGGTGCTGAGTTCGGCATCAAGTATTGATGCGCCTTTGATGCTCGTTCCCCTCAGCGCCTCAGAGCCGCTGTTGCTTCCAGCTGCATCCTTACTGCATCCTTAGACCCAAAACGGATTCTGCATTGGCACCACATGTTTGTACATCACGTGCTTGTGCTTTCACCATGGGTTGTCACTTTCAGCTACCTTGATGATTGTTGATCTGCTTGCATCAAGCAAAGCACGCTTGCCTTGCAACAAAGATCTCCCGCAGGAGTGTGAGCAGAATTTGGAACCCTTGATGGAGGTTGCTGCAACTTTGGTTTCGGATCGATTTGTCTGAAGCCCAGTATGACATCAAACCGCAAAATGATGAGACGACAATATTAATCATAGGGTAAAAGATGGTAAAAGATGGTAAAAGATGGCAAAAAATGGTAACAGATGGTAAAAGATGGTAAAAGTATGTAAAAGTAAACACAAGACCGTAGTTTGATGTTTACCCTATGAATCTCCAGCACTTCTGCGAGGTTGACAAAAGTCATCCGGCCATGTCAAGCACTCAGACCCTGAAACACCGAGTAATCTCGGGGCACACGTGGGCTACCCTACAAGGATTTGCCAGCTTGTCTACTTATGAGCCACATGTCAGCGCTTGCAGCCGGACCAACGCGAGCTGCTACGTTGTGGACTGAGTCCGGTGTTTGGTGAGAAGTTTTGCCGGGCAGATCAGACCGACAAGAGAAAATCATCAGAAAAGCTAGGAACGATTTTGAAAACATTAGTTGGCTGTAGCTGCTATAGCTGCACCAAACTTAGCTGCACTGAGGCTCTCAACTCTGCCAGGCTCTGTGCGATCCTATTGGTTCACTGGAAGACGGTAGACAGCAACAGGCTAGAGCATCAGTTGCCAGCGGCTCAGAGCAAGAGAAGCCCACAAACTACATGTACAATATGTTGCAATATCTTGGTGAAACACGATCGATTTTCACTTGGTTTCGCATGCCTCCGTGAAGCTGTGCAGGTTTGCAAGCTTCCAATCTTCCTTGCGGAGTCCTGGTCAGATGGCAGTAACTTGCAGGCTCCATGGGCCTTGTGCTCGCGCAACCAACAGGGAACACATCCTCTCTTGTCGCAGTGTAGCCATATCAAAGAGATTCAAAGAGTCAGACGGTGCTTCTCAGCTGGAAGATTTCTGCACTTGATCTGCAAATATCTGCAGTATTTCTCTTTTTGCCCATGCTCCCTGCTCCGCAGGCCTTCCGGTCCTTGATGCAGCTCGCAGTTGTTGATGGCGAACCACTTCCACTCAAATCTCCTCCAGTGAGGCACTGAAGAGCCAGAACTATCATTGGAAATTCAAACAGGGACTGCAAGTGCCCTCACATTGCCATTGAGTGGCTACGTTTTGCACTCAGAGTTGGCAGCCCACACAATGAACCTTCCAGATACACATACAAATAACGGCAAAACCAACATCTCCCACTCCGTTCCTACACAGCTAAGCAGCTTTCTGTACCGCTTGAAGCCAAACACTATACACCAGCCCTAAAGGCACCCTGCATTTGAACCAAAACACGATTCCTATCTGCATATCATAGTGCCTCTGACTGGAAGTACCAGAGGTCTGGATTCCAGGGAATCAGAAACACTGCTTGCAACACCCTTCAGCACTGTTGTGCAACTTGCCTCCCAACAAAGACTCCTGCATAAAGTTATCTTGTATATGATATATATATATATACAATTATCGAAGGAAGTTTAGAAGCTAAGCTTCCGACAATATGGACAGATGGAAAAGCAAGTCAGCAGTGAGAAGATCAGAGATGGAGCAATTCAGAAGTGAGAAGAGAAGAGATGGAGAAAGTCAGACGTGAGAAGATGCAGGTGCGCGAAAAGGTAGGAAAGTCGCGAAACACTGTGTTTTTCCAGTGTTTTGTGGCTCCGGAGGGTCGAAAAGTAGGCTCGCTAAAGCGTCGGGTGCGGAGACATCTGGGCAGATGAGATAGGAATACTTGCACGCCGTTGTGGCGCGAAGCACATTTTGAAGTGAAAAGTAGCAAAACACACCATGTTCGGACCACTTTTGGAAGTTGAGATGTTGAAAAAGCGCACGCCGTTGTGGCGCGAAGCACATTTCGAATTGAAAAGTGGTCGGGTTCGGACGACTTTTGGAAGTTGAGATGTTGAAAAAGTGCACGCCTTTGTGGCGCGAAGCACATGTGAGAGTAGAAATGCACAAAACACACCATTCTCGGACCACTTTTGGGCGTTGAGATGTTGAAAAAGTGCACGCGGTTGTGGCGCGAAGCACATTTCGAAGTGAAAATGCACAAAGCACGCCAGGTTCGGACCACTTTTGGGCGTTGAGATGTCGAAAAAGTGCACGGCGTTATGGCGCGAAGCACATTTGGAAGTGAAAATGTACAAAACACTTCAGCTCCGGATCATTTTTGGACGTTGAGATGTCCAAAAAGTGCACGGCGTTGTGGTGCGAAGCACATTTTGAAGTGAACATGTTAAAAACACCACATGCTCGGGCCACTTTTGGACGATTCGATGGCCATCCGATGTGGAAAAAGTGCACGCCGTTGTGGCGCGAAGCACATTTAGAAGTCAAAAGTGTCAAAAACTGAGGGTTTTGAGCCACTTTTTGATGTGTCAGTTAACTAACTGAACTAACAACTTAACAACTTAGCAACTTAGCAACTTAAGAACTTAAGAACTTAACAGCTTAACAACTTAACAACTTCACAACTTCACAACTTCACAACTTAGTTAGTTAGTTAGTTAGTTCGTTAGTTAGTTAGTTAGTTAGTTAGTCAGTTCGTTAGTTAGTTAGTTAGTTCGTTAGTTCGTTAGTTCGTTAGTTCGTTAGTTCGTTAGTTCGTTAGTTCGTTAATTAGTTAGTTAGTTAGGTAGGTAGGTAGTTAGGTAGTTAGGTAGTTAGGTAGTTAGCCAGTCAGTTAGTTAGTTAGTCAGTTAGTCAGTTAGTCAGTTAGTCCGTTAGTTAGTTAGCCAGTCAGTTAGTCAGTTAGTCAGTTAGTCAGTTAGTCAGTTAGTCAGTTAGTTAGTCAGTTAGTCAGTTAGTCAGTTAGTCAGTTAGTCAGTTAGCCAGTTAGTCAGTTAGTTAGTCAGTCAGTCAGTCAGTTAGTTAGTTAGTCAGTCAGTTAGTCAGTTAGTCAGTTAGTCAGTTAGTCAGTTAGTCAGTTAGTTAGTTAGTCAGTCAGTTAGTTAGTTAGTCTGTCAGTTAGTCAGTTAGTCAGTTACTTAGTTTGTTAGTCAGTCAGTTAGTCAGTTAGCTAGTTTGTCAGTTAGTCAGTTAGTCAGTCAGTCAGTCAGTTAGTCAGCTAGTTAGTCAGCTAGTTAGTCAGTTAGTCAGTTAGTCAGTTAGTCAGTTTGTCAGTTAGTTAGTTAGTCAGTTAGTCAGTTAGTCAGTTAGCCAGTTAGTCAGTTAGTCAGTAAGTGAGTTAGTTAGTTAGTGAGTTAGTCAGTTAGTCAGTTAGTCATAGTCAGTTAGTCAATTCGTCAGTTAGTTTGGTCGAAGGAAGTTTAGAAGCTAAGCTTCCGACAATATGGACAGATGGAAAAGCAAGTCAGCAGTGAGAAGATGAGTCTCGAAGCAAGTCAGAAGTGAGAAGAGAAAAGAGGGAGAAAGTCAAAAGTGAGAAGATGCAGGTGCGCGAAAAGGTAGGAAACTCGCGAAACAGTGTGTTTTTCCAATGTTTTGTGGCTCAGGAGGGTCGAAAAGTAGGCTCGCTAAAGCGGCGGGTGCGGAGACATCCGGGCAGATGAGAAATGAAAACTTGCACGCCGTTGTGGCGCGAAGCACATTTTGAAGTGAAAAGTGGCAAAACACGTCGGTCTCGGACCACTTCTGGAAGTTGTGATGTCGAAAAAGTGCACGCCTTTGTGGCGCGAAGCACATGTGAGAGTAGAAATGCACAAAACACACCATTCTCGGACCACTTTTGGGCGTTGAGATGTTGAAAAAGTGCACGCGGTTGTGGCGCGAAGCACATTTGGAAGTGAAAATGTACAAAACACACCATTCTCGGACCACTTTTGGAAGTTGTGATGTCGAAAAAGTGCACGCAGTTGTGGCGCGAAGCACATTTGGAAGTGAAAATGTACAAAGCACCTCAGGTTCGGACGACTTTTGGACGTTGAGATGTCGAAGAAGTGCACGGCGTTGTGGCGCGAAGCACATTTGGAAGTGAAAATGTACAAAACACCTCAGCTCCGGACCACTTTTGTCAGGTGAGATGTCCAAAAAGTGCACGGCGTTGTGGCGCGAAGCACATTTCGAAGTGAAAATGTACAAAACACCTCATTGTCGGACCACTTTTGGACGTTGAGATGTCGAAAAAGTGCACGCGGTTGTGGCGCGAAGCACATTTCAGTGAAAATGTCAAAATCACCACATGTTCGGGCCACTTATGGACGTCCAGCTGTCGTCCGAACGTGGAAAACGTGCACGCCGTTGTGGTGCGAAGCACATTTGGAAGTGAAAAGTGTCAAAAACTGTGGGTTTTGAGCCATTTTTGGATGTGTCAGTTAACTAGCTGAACTCACAACTTAACAACTTAACAACTTAAGAACTTTACAATTTAACAGCTTAACAACTTCACAACTTCACAACTTAGTTAGTTAGCTAGCTAGCTAGTTAGTTAGTTAGCTAGCTAGCTAGCTAGCTAGTTACTTAGGAAGCTTGTTAGTTAGTCAGTTAGTCAGTTAGTCAGTTAGTCAGTTAGTCAGTTAGT